CGGGGGCGGGGGCGGGGAACATAAAACCCGCCCTCATCCCGCCCCGTTGTCATGCCTACTTTTATGTCAGTTGGTTTCAAATTGTGATACCATTTCTGATTTGAAATAGAAAGTATGAAATATTGTGATACCATTTCTCATGTTTGGAAATTGTTTTGTTTTCAGAGCAATGTGCTTGATTGACTTTGGATTGCCCGTGGAGTCAGACGAAAGTGATATGTTAAATATTCAAGATTCAAGGGCAAAAAATTTACAAAATTTTAATCTTAAGAAGAGGACTAAACACAATAGGAGAAACTTTGAAGTTGTTCCTTTAGAGAATCCTGTTTTATTTTTAGCATATACATCCAAAAATTCTTTATTTATGATAGACAAACCCTGGTTGCAAGTGGTCAAGAGTTTAGAAGCAACACCAGTCCACAGACATATTTTTGGAACCTGAGCACTAAGCGACTTAGGGGATCATTCTCAGCCTGAGGAATACATGATGGATATAAAAGTCCGAAGTTTTTTTTTTTTTTTCATGGCTGGGATTTAGGATGTGTAACATGTTGTCATAATCAATTTTGTTGCATTAGTAATAGTTTTTCTTCATAATTTATTTTATTTTTATTTACACAACTCCGATGCTTTTACTTTTAATCAGTTCGTAGTCTTTTTGTCAAAGTTTGATTAAGATGTAATTACAATTTTATGTAAAAGAATATTGTTTACATAAGGGTAACAATCTAAAATTGGGAATAACCATTGTTTCACGTGTGGATTTCATAAACAAGTATTTTGGTATTTTTGTAATACTTGGTTCCTTCTCCGTTATTTCTTACAATTACAAGTTTATTCCTTTTTTTTTTTTTACTTTAATACCTCTTACAAAATATTATTATACGGTCAAGTATTATTTATCATGAATATAATGGAACAAGTAAATAAATATCTTACAGGCTTGTTTTGTCGGTGATAAAGATTGAAATGGAATCAGTTAAAATTGTTATTGTATTATTTGAATTTTTCATAACCAAAAAAAAAAAGGATGGAGCGGAATTAGTTATAATGTATTAGTTTTCATATTCTTATTTTTATCTTATATTTATATTATCATTAAGAAGTTATTGATTGATTTTATGTTTAAATTATCATTAATAAATTATTGATTAATATACAACATGTAAATAAAATTATTATAATGGAATAAAATGAATATTAACTCATTTTCTTTCATCATATTCTTATTTTTAGAAAGTAGAAAACGAAATAAACTCTTCCTTCCACTACTTTTCTTTCTATTTTTTCATTAGCAACTAATTTAAACATAATTTTGTATAAGTGAAAAGAAAATATTTTTTACTAGTATAAATGAGACAATTTTTCGTTAACTCAATAGTAAGACAACGATAGGATGAGAGACAACTTAGACCTTAGCAGCTTTTAAGAACTAGATGTATTATTCATGTATTAAATTTATTTAAATATAAAAATATAATTTAGATTTATAAAAAACATAGGTTAAAATATATTTTTATCCCTATAATATCATTTAATTTACATTTTAGTTCATATAATTTAATATAAATATCCTTAGTTTATATGTTTCCCTTTTCAAACTTTGTTATTCTTTACGGTTAATTTTTTTAAAACATTATTTTTATGTGAATGACATTAATTTATTAAATTCACATGGCATTGATGTATTTGATTTTATGAATGGTGAAGATAAGAAACACAAAGTTAAAGATAATTGTCATGTCAACACAAATTAGACGTAATTACACACAAAATTAACAATATGAATTAAAAAAGATTGAAAAAAGAAAGTATAATGACTAAAAATAATTATTTAAACTATAGAGATTGAAAGATAGAGTGAAACTATAAAGAATAAAAAAATATTTTAATTAAAAGTATATTTAGAAATAAAGCTTTTTTATTTTATAATTTATTATAAACAAATTATTGTAAATAATTTTTTATGGTATTATATGCATTTTTATTAGAATTAATCACGCTAATTATCAATTTTCACGAGGGAAAAAAAATTATATGCAGTGAACTTTGTGATAAACTCTAAAATTGCTAACTATTTTTATGGTCTTAAGGTAGGGAACATGTCTTTTGCTTAGAAATTTTCTTTGAATTATGTTTTTCAACATGTGATTTTGGGATGCGACTCCAAAAATATATTTAGTTAACTTAAAAATAAGATTGTGAGTCATGGTTTCGTCTAATTTAGGGTTACAATTTGAAAGCAATGTGTGTTTTAAGGTTGCGTTTTTAAGAAATTGTAGAAAATAGCTTTTCATGTTGATTGAGATACAAAACTTAAAATCACTTCGGACTTGAAAAAGATATTATATGTGGTACTTATAATCTATTGACTTTGGTTTGACTCAAAAGCTCCAAATGATTTGGAAATGACGCATCTTGTAAAATTGTACAATGCATGTTTCTAGAAAAACAAGTTTTTCTATTAAGCTCATTTGTACAATTATCAAACTTATGTGGGTCCACCAAATAGATTTATAGTGTACTAAAATAAGTTATGGGCTTTGGTTTCACTAAAAAAACTTGAACGGTTTAAAAATGATATGCATTTCAAGTTTTAAGCAAAAAAAAAATAACTTAAAAAATAAGTAGTTTTTAAAGAAAGATCTAAATTTATGGAAGAAACTTCATAAATCTTCAAAAACATATTTCTTTTAAAAATGATATGTATTTCAAGTTTTAAGCCAAAAAAATAACTTGGAAAATAAGTGATTTTTAGAGGAGGGTCTAAATTTACGGAAGAAACTTCGTAAATCTCTAAAAACAGATTTATTACACTCATAAATAGGATTTTAGGTACTAGTCGCAACCCAAAATCTACATTGAGTCAAAGTCTAAGCTTTTTTTGTCATTGATTAAACTAGTTTGAGTCAAAATAAACTTAGATTGTAACATCCTGATTCTCAAAAATAAAATAAAAAAGTGTTGTAATAAAAAAAATATTTTTAACTTAATTGATTAAATTAGTGATATAATTAAAATATTTTATTAGATAAAATAAAAAAGAATAGGCAATGAGGTAGAAATGAGTCTTGGGTCAGACTCTTGAGTCCAACACAGAAGCTTATTAATAATAAGAAAAAGAAGGTTAGGTCATTTATATGCATCAACTTTTACACCTAAAGAGTGCCTTTAGATGAAAAACTTTAAAGAAAACCACAAGGAGTGCATGGAGTAGTCTCAAAATAACATAGATCAAGCTTGTTACCTTAGAAGTCTTCATCTAAGGAGCAAATCAGGAAGTGCAAGTTGTTGTGATTTAGGAGGATGTGATAACAACTAGGGAAGTACTATAGGATATAACACAGATGATGAGTAACTTGGTCGATCAAAATGATGTGTCAATGATTCATGCAACAAAGAGGAAAACCTATAAGGGCCCATCAAAGAGAGCGTAAAGTAGTGACTAGGCTATCAAGAACACATTTGTGTTACGAAATTGTCACTCAAGGTAAAGGAAAGTGAAAATGTCTCATTCATGGACACATATAAGGGGTATAGCTAATGAGATAACCTCTAAGCATCTTAATATATTAATTGAATTATTGTGGATGCATATTTGTATGTTCTTGAATTATATATCACCTTGGCTTAGTAAATTCATGAATTGTGATGATTGATTTAAATGAATTTGTGTATTGGGGGTTAGGGTTGAATGTATGATTTGGAAATTTGGTGTGGTTTATTTAACTCTGAAAATTCTAATATGAACATATATTGATATTTAAGTGATTTCTATCTACTTGATTAACTAAATAGAGTTTTATTTGTTGGGTTAGAAACTAGACATTTGGGGTTACAATCTAGACTAAATAATCATATAATGTTAGAAATGATCGAGTTATGTGAGTCTCAAGACAAGCCTCATGTTCTATGTGTGAAAAAGTAATGTCTTCTACTTGTAAGCCTTGTGAGAACCTTTAGATGACTGAATTATGCAACACCCTAAAATTTTTCTAATAATTAGTAATTATTAATTAGGAAGATAATAATTATTTTATTTTATTTTATGATTAATAGTTTTTTATTTTATTCATGTTAATATATTAATTATTTAGGGGAGTATTAGAAATAATGAAGATAAAAGGGGGTTTAAAGAAATATGAGTTATATATTAGAAGAGAAGGGAGAAATGGGATATTATTATTCATTTGTTTTTTATTTCACGTTCTTTAATGCCCGAGTGCTTTGAAGAGAACACATATGGAGAGGAAGGAGAAAGGATCGCCTTAGAACAGGAAGAAGATTAGACTCATACATTGCATCGCTCCAAGTAAGGGGAGAGTAAGAATACTCATTTATAGGGATTGAGTGTATGCATGATGGGTAGAGGGATTGACTCCAATCCCATAAATTTTCTATTTGATGAGATGTTATGTGCGTTTGATGTGATTTATTAAGTAGATTTTGAATATGTAATTTATTTGATGATCAAATATTTTTAGAGTAATTAATTGAGTGCTCTGTAGAAAGGGGTTAGAATCCTAAGGAGAGAAATTTGTTGAATTTGAGGGGTAAAAGTTGTAAATGATAAAATTGGTGAATTTCTAGATGTAAAACGAGTTTTGGAAGATTATAATTTGTATGATTGATTGTGGAAACATTTATTTCAAGATCTAGCAATTTTGATGTTGGTGACTGGGTGTTGGATCGCATGCGACGTTGGGCTTGAATGCTCAAAAACGAGCATGCCTTCATGTGTATGAAGGTCTTGCCTAGACGTGTTGGCGCTAGTTCACTCAACCTAAACAACATTTAGTTACCTTTGGTCAACATGAGGTGAAACTATTATCGATATGGTGGAAATAGTATAAAGGGAATCTTTTAAGATTTTCTCTAATGTATTGGGGCTTCTAATGTGTGGCTTTAAATTTTGGCGTGATTTTCTTCTAGTGTTTATCTTTTCTCCACAGTCAAAATACAAGCCAACTGAAGAGATGAAATGAATGCACAAATTACAAAGCAAATAAGTCATCCATTGGAGCTCGTAGGTGGTTGAAGCAAATGCATGGTACTCATCTTCAGATGAGACGAAAGTCTACTTCTTTGATTCCCAAGAGATCAAAGAGAAGCCTAAAAAGACACAAATTTTGATAATTGAGTGACAAGTATTTGGACAAGATGCCTAATCAAAATCACTAATTGCCTTTAACTGAACAAAAGAATTTGAAAGGAAAAAGAGTCCTTGAGATGGTGAAGAATTAATGTAGCATAACATATGCAAAGCAACTTGATGATGGTGAATGGAAGAAGCTTTCATGAACTAACTCAAATGCTGAACAATAAAATATCTATCAAGATGAGTGTTTGTTGATAACATTACCGAATCACAAAAAAAAATTATAAAATTTTCTCCAAAAATTTATACTATAGGGATTAACTTAGGTCATTCTTTTCAAAGACACAAATCAATTGAATCCAAATGTATCACACAATTGCTAGCAAGGGGATTTTGGATAGCAAACAATAATTGAGAAATTAAAAATGTAAATAGAAAATTAATTATGAATTACAATTGAAATTTGCATCAATTTAAGATTTTGATTCTTATAGTAAAATTTTCCCGATTCAAATTATAATCCAAACTCAATCAACATGAATGTAATTAAAATGTAAATCTTAATCTAGAACTACTAGATTTCTTAAAGATGTGAAATGCAATTGCGATCTCACAATTTTTGTGAAATTCAAGAATGGTAAATGATTGATTTAGGAGATTTGGGTTATTTTTGGTCTATATCTAAATCTAGATCCAAAATTAATCTTCAATTATATTCCATATCTAATTAAATTAAAATTCATAATCATGAAAAAGAAAATTATATCTAAAATGGAGAAAAAGATGAAGAGAATTCGTATAGTTAAATTAGACCGAGAACTCAACTTTTACCTTAATGCATGGAATATTGAATTGATTAAATGGATTAGCCACGCATTTTCATCAAGTTGCTACAATCAATTCATGTAGAAGATGCAAAGAGAAAATTTAGTGATAGATAGAGAAAGAGAGAGAGAAAGAGAAAATTTAGAAAAACTCGTAAAGGAAACAACTCTAAAATCTAACAAATGAGAGAAAATGTATATAACAAGTTTCACGACGCCTATTAATAGACTAATATAGTGGGCTTAATCATAATATTTATAAGGCTCGGCCCACTAATCAACTAATTAACAAGGTTATACCACTAATACAAGTTCCTAATCAAAAGTAAACCCAAAATGAAGTATAGAGGCATAACATTGAAGTGCAATTTTGGATCCTTAAATGTATGAACTGGGTAAAACTCGCAACAAAGAAGTTGTAGAGATTTGTCTTAGCATTCTAGGGACACCAAGAACATTCAATTCCCAGTTCGGGAGCTCTAGATATAGCCTATGCAAGACAATATGTCAAAGTGGACTTATGAAAATTAACTAGAATTTAAAATTGAAACCAAAATAGTCCACTAAAATAAATGTCAATCAATTCATCAATTTAAGACACTTTTAAATGCACTATCATTTGTCAAATAAAGTAAACAACTAAGAGCATCTATAATGGGAGTTGTTTATAAGCAACTTTCATCTATTTTAAATGGGTCCCACTATGCCATATCACTCATAAGCAACTCATTTTACATTTTTACAATTTTTGTTCTAATGAGAATTACTTATAAGCACCTCCACTTTTTAACAACACATACTACACTTTTTGACAACTCACACTACATTTTTTGATAAATTAAAAAATTAATTATTATGAATAATATATAAATACAAATAACAAACAAAAAAATTACATAATAAAAAAAATTACAATTTTTCCAAAGTCTACTTTCCCATTTTCTTTTGGATTACCGCACCTTCCCCCTTTTTTTTTCAATGTTCACCTTCCCTTTTTCTTCCTTTCCAGAATTTGTGATACCAAGGTGGGCTTTTCAGAGAAGCTCATTCGCGCATCATGACCAAGGCTTTCTCCAAGGTCTCTACACGGGGAGTGGCTGGCACAGGGGTTGGCAGTTGTGGCGCTGGCCGACGACTGCGACGGGGTTCGTCACCACCACCGACGATAGGGACGCCGTGCTCCTTCGTTCAGAACGCACTCTTCCACGCAGTTCCAAGGCTGTTAAGGCATGGTTGTCTGAGGCGTGGTTGTCCGAGGCGTGTTGTTGAAGCTTCCAACTTGGAGGATGAATCATTGAGAGCTCTCCATTTGACATTTCAAAGACCAAGCACCGTTCCTTCCTGAAGCAACGGAAGTAAAAAAATTCTAACTTTCCTTGCCACGCCAAATCACTCTAATGAAAGTTTTTTTGTAAGCATCATTCATTGTCTTTAAGATACATCTTAAGCAACCTCCATTGGAGGTGCTCTAATTAGCCTATGATAAGAAGTTGCATCATGAGATTGAGAAATGTGATAAAAAAAATAAAGCTTTGTATTCTTGGCCATAAGCATAGAGCATGGTTTGGAAGCAAGTAATCCAAAATTAGAGAAGATGTCAAAGTCTTAACAATTGTAAATACCTTTGTGAGAATGAGCCATTTCAAGGCTAGAAGTACATTTGAGCTAAACAAAATCTTTAATTTTGAAAGTGGAGCCCAATAAGCATTTCACTATATCAATATCTAATAAAGTCACTTACAAGAATTATATCATTGACATATATTAGTAGAGTAGTGAAAGAAAAGTTAGTCTTCTTAATGAATAATGAATGATCAGATTGCGATCGAATAAAATCAAGTGACAACAAGGAGGTTAAAAGCTTGGAAAACCATTGCCTACTTGCATGTTTGAGTCCATATGATGATTTGGTTAATCTACATACTTGATTTGGGCATGAATTCTTGAGGTGTTATGTTGGACACAATACCATGACCTTTGGGGAGTCTACTTTGGAATTGATTGTAATAGGGTGATATAAAGTATGAAAAATACCTTGTAGAATTTTTCTAAGCATGGAACCATCATTAATAATGTAGACATGTCCTGAGAGAGTTGCAAAATTGGGAGGTTAGTTATATACCTAGACAAGCTAACTTAGTTGCTCACAATCTAGTTAGGACAACTAAATTGTATGCTAGTCTACACAACTTTAGATACACTCCTCTTGTATTGTTGAAGATATTATTAATGACATGAGATAAGTTTGTTTTAAAAAACAAGAGAGAATGAGATATCCATGATTTATTTATTTATTTATATATATTAGTGTGAGAATGACATGTCTCTATTATTTAAAAAAACAAAAAATGAGTGATTAGTTGGAGATTTATAAGAAAAAAATAAATTGAAATTATATAATATAATAGTAGGTGAGAGGTTTAAAAGTAGTTATAAGGATAAATTAAAAGTAAAGAGTGTGTTAGGAGGGAAAAAAAGAGAGAGCAATTTAAGTAGTTAAATTAAATTCACAATAAAATCAGCCAACAATGCAATAAAGCGGTGGGAAAAGAAGTTACATCTGCAACTTTTAAAGAGTAAAAACTTGAGAAAATGTAGAAAGCCAAAATCGAAGATTGGCTATGTCGTTAGAGATTATAGATTAAAGATAAATAGTGTTGAAAAATATCATATTTTGATAATTCCAAGAGATAAAAAAACTATGATACGGGCCAGAGAACAGAGAAAAAGCCCAGAGGCTTTATAATGTATGGGTCACAAAACCCAACCCGAAATGTATACAGATCCAAGTCCAGACATAAACCTCAGAAAAAACCTATCTAATATTGCCGCCTCGCCCTTATACCCTACTCTTCCGCTAATCAAAATTCAATTGACGCGCACCGTTTCGGAGCGTGGCTCCTCCTCCTCCATGGGCAAGACCAAGACCCTCTCCGTCGATCGAAGACCGTCGGAGTGTGTCTCCTCATATTCCGTCCACAAGATCAGTTCCATAGATTGGATACCTTCTCCGGTGGTGGCTTTGGCCACCAGCTTCGACGGCTTGCGAGTCGCCGCCGCTCGCCACGACGGCTCCCTCGAAATATGGCTCGTCTCGCCCGGCTCCATCGGCTGGCACTGTCAGCTGGTAACTAACTAACTATCACTAACTAACTAACTAACCATACATTCTCTCCGTTGTTCTCATTCTGATGCATTGCGCAGACTATACACGGAAACCCTAACGGAAGAGTAACGTCGCTTATTTGGTGCCCCGGTGGTCCTCACGGAAGTCGCTTGTTTTCGTCTCACTTAGACGGCTCCGTTACTAAGTGGGATCTTTTCCACTTGAACCAGGAGGTATCGTGTTTCTTCTTCTCTTTTCGTTTCGAGATAGTGTGCTTGAAGCTTGTGAACTCTTTATTGTGTTTTTGTCTTGGTGTGGAATGGAGGCTAACGAGTAAACACCTACTTTCGTCTTTGAGAATTTAGAAGACGCTGTAATCTGAAACTAAAAATTGTAAAATTAGTTCCTATAATGTTTTTAAATTTATTCACTTGCTGATATTTTAGTCCTTCAATATATATTAATATTATCGCTTTAGTCTCATTTTTTTTTTCAGTATGGACTTATGTGATTGTCAATTTGTACTTTTAGGACTAATTTTACCATTTTTAGCTTTAGGGACTAATATGACAAAATCAGGGACTACAGTGGGTGTTTATTCTTCTAACAATAGAAAAGCATGTTAGAGACACTTATTTGTAGGACTGTTGGGTTAGGAATGTGTTCTTAGTTACATGTCGGGTAATATTTGTTAAGGTGTTGAAAGAGTTTTCTGAATGACTGGTGCTTTGAGTTTTTTTTTTCTTTGGTTGTTGTATTGTGTGGGTTGCTTACTTTGACACGTGGCGCTTGCAGACGGTGCTTGAGTCGGTTGGTGTCTCAATTTGGAAAATGGCAGTGACTTTTCCCAAGGGTGACAAGATAAATGATGAGAGGAAGGGTGATCAAATGGGGAATGGGTTCCATGATTTTGTTGAACATGAGAGCAGTGAAAGTGATGAAGATTCTGATTCACCTGGTCCTCACGAGGGTTCTGTGGGTGAGAATCCACGTGTGGCAATTGGTCTTGACAATGGACATGTGGGAATTTATGATATCTCTGACACAGATGAATTTATTTACGTAAAATCCTTGCCTCGGGTCAAAGGTGAGGTTTTCCTCAAGTTATTTGTCTCGTAGCAGGTGTTCCTTTTTTAATGCATTACTCCCATTAAGAGGAGGTTTTTTGTTATGGTTTGCAGGACGAGTTTTAAGTGTGGCATGGAGTACAGATGCTAACTACATATATTCAGGAAGTAGTGACGGGTATGTATTGAAGTTGTGATTGATAAAAGATCACCAATTTTCTTATGTTAGAAACCAAGGTTCTATGCTTAATTATGCAAAAAGTTTAGTAGGTCCAGCAACATAGTCTACACATTTGTTAATTTGTGACATCACTTAGATCAATGTCCTTACTTGTGTTTCTTGTTTGTCTCCTCTCAGGTTGATAAGATGCTGGAATGCTGCATTGGGCAATGAAATATATAGGATTACAGTTGGACTTGGAGGTTTGGGCAGTGGACATGAACTTTGCATATGGTCATTACTGTCTTTAAGGTGATAGTGAATGCATCTCTTTGTTGAATTATTGTCTTTCAATTTAACTAATATATGCATACTTCTGCTATTCACATCCACCCTATTGGTATAAGTTTTTGGTAGAGTTCTTTCTTGCTATTTTCAGCCTTTTGTAGCTAATTGGCTAGTTATTATTTAGGTCCGGGACACTTGTTAGTGCTGACAGCAGTGGTAGTGTCCAGTTTTGGGACAGCCAACATGGAACTCTCTTGCAAACACATTCACTACACAAGGGACATGTAAATGCTCTGGCAGCAGCCCCTAGTCATGATAGGGTGTTCTCTGCTGGTTCTGATGGCCAGGTACCGAGTTGCATGATTTGTGAATTCTTCTTATGAAACTACAGTAATTTATCTTTTTTGATAATGTAGTTGGCTTCTTGTATGTGTGTATTTGATAGCAATTTGGCAATATATTTTTGACATTACGCATGATTATTGTGCACAATTTCCATTGTTGTTGAGGTCAAATTCAAGTAGTGGCTGTGGATATTTTCAAGGTTATATAAATCATCCTTAAACACCAATATCGTCTGCAATATGTTAACAGAGCATGGTGATACCATTGCCAACCAATATATCAGGTTGGTTCAAATCACATGAAAATGCCGCAACAAAATGGTGTTGCAGTAGAGAATCTCATATGAGAGACTATCATTTTTAGCTGGAATATCATTTTTCTCCAAGAATCTCATATGAAAACCATTTTTTTTTGTTTTTGTTTTTTTTGTTTTCTAGAAGAACCTATGAAGTAGAGAATGAGAACCCATGAATAGAATCAGAACAATCGTCATTAAAAAATTGAAACTTGAAAGTAGAAGGCATCCTTAAACTCTTCCCACGTCCACAATGTTAGCTGCCCTTCATTCATGCTTTGTCATAGTGGTTGGGTTTCGCCACCCTGACCAGTTACGATTTTCTGTTCATGTAAATTCTGTGATGAGAAGCGACTTGAGAAAAGAGTGGGAGAAAAGAAGCTAAGAGTCTGTAGTGTACAGGATAAAAGGGGAAATGAGAAGATGGAGGGAAGAGGTTTAAAGAGAGGAAAGAAGCAAGGCATTCAGGAAAAATAATTATGAGAGAGAAATAGTGAGACGGTGGGTGGATGGGATTGGAAAGTCAAATTGAAATTGAAAATATAAGTTTGAAGAATTGGAGTGGGAAATTAAGAATACTGGTGGGAGGGCAATAATTTGGCCACGTGAAAAGAGTAGTTTAATGAGATTGGTTTAGTTGAAAAATATTTAATTAATTGATTAAATAAAGAATTAATTCAAAGAAAATTAGTGAATATTAATTAATTAGGTGAGAAATTAATAGAAGAATTGATTGGACTTTATAATTTTAATTAAGATAAAAAGTAAATTTAATAAAAAAATATTTTAAATAACAAGTTTATAATTATTTTAAATCATGGTTTAAAACTGTGATATTGAAGGTTTTATGTTGCCTTGGGGCCTGGTTTTGTTGCTAGTAAAACAAAGTTGCAGCATCATTGGAAATGTCTTGAACTCCATTCATTGGATTTATTCTTGGAGATTGAGCTATGTGGGGAAAGAAGAGATGAAATAACAGTACTGAGAGACAGTTTTAATAGGCTACTAGATTAGATATGCATGTTAATTGTTAAGTAGTGCAACTTTGAAAGGTTTTTCAAGACCTAAACGTATCTAGATTCTCACTTGTTACAATCTCTGTCTATGTGAATTTATCAGTTTGCTGTGTAATCAAAAGAATGAGAACTGCCATTTCCAACTATTACCTTCATTTTACTTCCCTATCTCAAACCTCTCTGTAATTATTTTAGTGTGACATGAAACCTAGTAACAGATGATTAGTTCCATGAAACGTAGTAACTGATAATTAGTTCCATTTGATCTATTTATATTTTTATTCCTGTTTCTATTTTATATTTCAGCCTTTTAATTAAAAAGTAATATAGTTGTTTGCTGACCATCTGTGTAGCTTTTGCATTATGGTTTGTTTCCAGTGATTTTTAGAAGAAATAAAAAATCTACTGTTATGTATGCTGTGTCTTCTGGATGCTTCCAATGTATGTATATCTTGAATTGTTCTTAATGGAGTTCCACTGTGTATCATATTTCAGGGTATCACATTTATTGAGCTCTGCATTTATATATTCTTAAGAATAATTAATAATGCCATTGCATGCTATTCATGAGTCTGTATATTGGTGTGTCGTTATATTTTATTCATTAAATTATTGTTTGTTGCCCCATTTTCCATTTAATTGCACTGTTATTCCATGTTAAGTTTGTTGCCCCATTTTCCATTTAATTGCACTGTTATTCCATGTTAAGTCTGTTGATGACGTGAATTATAATAATGTTGGTTTAGTTTATTTTATTTGAAGGTTATTCTTTACAAGCTGTGTAGTAGTCAGTCAGCATCATCTGATGATAACAAACCGCTATCAACGATGAAGAGATGGATGTATGTTCACTGTGTAAGGGCTCACACGCATGACATCAGGGCTCTGACTGTTGCTTTACCGATAAGTCATGAAGGTCTCTTTTTATATTGCTTATATTCTTGTTATTTATTCAGTACATATTGTATTAAGCTTGTTTGGATGAGCTTTGAGTCTAAAGCAAGTATTCTTGGAAAAAAATTTTTTGCTTTTAAGAGAGAAATGAAAGATTTTTTTCTTCTATTTTCTGAAGGTGAATCTTTTATCATAACCAAACTTCTTTTCACAGTAAGTGTTTCTTTGCAGTAGAAAAACTTATCCAAATGGACAGTCTTTAGTTGCTACGAATGCATTAGCCATGTTCTGTTCCTTAGCTGTGCATTTTTGTGTAGCAGATATTAAGGCAGAAAGGAGAATTAAAAGAGCTCGACGTGAAGAAAAGCCCATTCATTTTAGTTACCATAAGTGGGCTCATTTGGGGGTTCCCATGCTCATCTCTGCAGGAGATGACACAAAACTTTTTGCATATCCGGTGAAAGAATTCACTAAGTTTTATCCTCATGATATCTGTCCTGCTCCTCAGAGAACACCCATTCAACTAGTGCTCAGTTCTGTCTTTAATCAATCCAAAATGCTTTTAGTTCAATCTTCGCAATGCATAGATATTCATTTGCTACAACTAAAAAATGTACGGACTCCTGGTGATCTTGCAAAAACCAAAATACTTTGTCGAGTCAAGAGTAAGGCATCTCAAAAGATAATTTGCAGTACAATTTCTGATTCAGGGGCGCTATTTGCATACTCTGATCAAGAGAAGCCTAGGCTTTATGAATTGGAAAGTGGTGAGGTTGGTAAAATCACATGTGATGTTCGTAGACGGACACTTCCTCAGAGATTACCATTTGCCCATTCCATGATTTTTACGCACGACTCCTCCTGCTTGATAGTAGCAGGTCACGATAGAATGATATATGTAAGTTAGCAACATGCTCCATCTCTATTATGATTAAATTGTGTTTTATGTAAAGTAAGGTTACTTTATAAGGGAAATTTTTTTGTTTGTTTTTGCAAGAATTTCTGAATGAACTTATCTAAACTTTGGTTATTTTACTCCATACTTTATGATAATCATGCCCATCATTTGCTGCTTGCTATTCTGGTCCTTGCTTCAAATCTTTTGCACCTGAAGACTGTTTAAAGGGGTTTTTTGCTGTTTATCATTATTATTGTTGCTGTTGTTGCTGTTGTTGCTGTCCAGGTAGCATTTAAAAGTGTCAATTAACTATGCTTTGTTATCCTGCTCAAAAAGATGCTAGATGTTAAGTTTGGCATAACTGTACATTGCTACTTTATGATAATCATGCCCATCATTTGCTGCTTGCTATTCTGGTCCTTGCTTCAAATCTTTTGCACCTGAAGACTGTTTAAAGGGTTTTTTTGCTGTTTATCATTATTATTGTTGCTGTTGTTGCTGTTGTTGCTGTCCAGGTAGCATTTAAAAGTGTCAATTAACTATGCTTTGTTATCCTGCTCAAAAAGATGCTAGATGTTAAGTTTGGCATAACTGTACATTGCTTTATGTAATTAACATCCAAATTTCTCTTTTGGTTGTTTTGCTTGTCTCTGGATTAATTAATGTTCATTAAAATTTCATGATCTTAGGGTTTAAAAATCTGTGTTTTGTTGATATTCTTTTTTTCTTATTTTTTTAATGCTATAGGTTGTGGATGTTGAGAGATCAGAATTAATGCACACTTTTACTCCCCGCCGCGAATTGAATGAGGAATCAAGTCCAACCGAGCCACCCATCACAAGATTGTTTTCTAGTTCAGATGGGCAGTGGTTGGCAGCTGTGAACTGCTTTGGGGATATATATGTATTTAACTTGGAGACACGAAGGTGTTGCTTCTGATTTGCTTAACTTCTTGTTGTTTTTTTTTTTTTTTAAATTCAGGAGATCTATTACTGTAGTTGATTTGCCGCATTTATTGCTTTACAAATTTTAAAATAAAAGGATAAAATTTTGGGAGACATGCAAATAGGCATTAGACAATCAAAAGAATGTTCTGATTGGATGTACAGTTCTTTTGTCTGTAAAATTAAATATAATTTAACTGATAATACTGAACCCTGTTAATTCTAGAGGGCAAGAGTGATTGCAATAATTATTTGATATAGATATTAATGTTTTATTGTATATTTTATAAAATAAATATTGTGCAACAGGAATCAGTGGTTCATTTCTAGATTGGATGGTGCCTCTGTTACAGCTGGTGGATTTTCACCCGAGAACAGCAATGTATTAATAGTTACAACATCATCAAATCAAGTGTATGTTTTTGATGTTGAGGCCAAACAGTTGGGAGAATGGTCAAGGCATACATCTACTCTTCCGAGGAGATATCAGGAATTTCCTGGTGAAGTTATTGGTCTCTCATTCTCTCCTTCGCCAACCTCATCTTCTGTTGTTGTTTACAGCTCCAAGTAAGCCTTATTTTCTTTTCAAGTATGAAGTTGAAATCTTGCATTGGTTAAATGATAAAAATTAAATGTGAAATATAATTTTTTTATGCAAAAATATATATTTTTTTGATAGGAAAGTAATTACAAATTTAAAGCCTGTGATCTGTTGATTTATGTTTTTTTTGTTTGTATTTATTGAAATTTTTATTGTGGGTCTTCATAATTATGTTGGAAGAAGAATTTTGTGCTGTAAGTCACTATCGCTTCTACATTTTCATCGCATTCAGGTGTGATACATGAAAAGTTAAGCCTTGTATATCAGTTTGTTTTGGAATTGTGATATTCACCATTCCCGACTCAATAGAAAGTTTGAAACTATGAAAATGTTGTGCTTTTCTTTTTTATTTATTTTTGAATCAGTCTCATGTTAGAAATTTGTTTATCTTCAGGGCAATGTGCTTGATTGACTTTGGGTTGTCTGCGGAGGCAGACGAAAGTCATAATCTAATTAATCAAGATTTGAAGGCAAATATTATACAAAACTTCAATACGAAGAAGAGGACTAAACATAATAGAAAGAACTTTAATGTTGTACCATTAGAGAATCCTGTTTTATTTTTAGCTTATACTTCAAAAAATTCTTTGTTTATGGTAGACAAACCTTGGTTGCAAGTGGTCAAGAGTTTAGAAGCCCCACCAGTCCACAGACATATATTTGGGACATGAGCACTGAGCAACTTAGAGAGTTCTCAACGTGAGGGGATAATTTTTTTTTTCTTTTTCTTTTCGTCTCTTCATGATTGGGATTTAGAATCTTGTAATGTGATATCATAATCAATTTTGTTTCATTAGTAATGGCTTATTCACATTGTTTTTTATTTACACTGTTTTTATTCAATTTTCAGCTCGATGTTGTAGAATCTTTTAACACAATGTAATTTCAATGAAATTAAATTTTCATATAAAAATACAAATATTTAAATAAGGATATCAACAAGGCCAAATAAATTCTATCTGTCAAATAAACATCTTTATACATGTTATTTAAATATAAATGTATAATTTTAATATATGAAACATATGTTAATAATTTTTTCTATATGATTTATGGTAAATAATGTGTTAAGGGTATTATATGTATTTTTAAATTAAATTATGTTAATTTTTCAAATTTTTCATGTGGTTATGATTAAAAACACTAAATGCATTTAATTGAAATGATTTATTAAATATTTTTTTAATATTTACTGTTCTTACTTGAGATCAGTCGTGATGATGATCTACTGGCAAGATCGGTGAGTCTTCTCTGCTTGGTACGTTAGTTGCTCTGAGATGGGGTCAGTACCTGCAAAAGAGACTATAATACTGAAATTAGTTTTTGATACTGTAAGTGTCTCGTATATATAATGCATGTATCTCGATGTAAATTAGGGTTTTCCTCCTAGTCGAGGATAAGGTTGATTTAGGCCTATTTAGGCCTATGGTTGGTCGCGACCCAATAAACAGTGGGCCTTCGTGTTGGCTGATGTCATGTAGCTTAGTCTCGGTGTCTGATGTGGATAGTACATTTACAAATACTTGTGAATATTTGTAGGTATTTATTTTAAGATTTAAAAATATTTAATAGTTTTTTTTAAAATAATAGTATAAAAGTTCAAAATTAAACTATTTAAATATTATACATAATTTTAGTAATCAAGATTTTTCATTAATTTTATTATGTAATTAAATATTAGTGACTTTTATAAACACAAATATTATAATACTTATACTTATATTGTTAACATGTAGATATAAAAAATATTCGTATTTATTGTCTACATATATTCCTTTTCTACTCATAATAAATTTTATCCATGAGTATAATTGTTTTTTTTTGACATTTCTGTATTCAATCCATTAATCTTGAAAGTTATCTTTCCATAAATATTATTTATCAATTTTTATTTCTAATTTTAATAAAAGAATTAAACAGATAAAGTTTCTGTAATGATTTTAATTTATAATGCCGTGATAAGTATAATCTTCAAAAAAAATAGTATATCTCTAATATAAAATACATCATAATCTTCAAAAAAATAGTATATCTCTAATATAAAATACATCATAAAATATATGAACAATGTTTAGAATGTCTATCTTCTAAAGTTGTTATAGTTGTTTTTTTTTTCTTTCCATTGATTCATTGATGTAAGTTTATAGTTGATTTTTATTCGGTTAAAACTTATAATTTGGAGTATGGGACTTCTTAAAATTACATCTAATTATATCTCTAATAAGTAAATATTTGGTATTCTATATTCGTATAAATATAGTGTCATTGTTATTTCCTACACTTGCTATCAACTCATATATCAATGTCTAAACAAATAATTAAACTCCAATAATTTTTTGTTATGAAATACAAGTTCCGAACTATTTGTTTGAATGATCTTTGATATTTGTTAGTGAGTTTAATTTAAAATGTTTTTTTAATTCACACAAATGTTAAATTCACTTGTTGCAATCTTTTTATTCTAATTCACGTGTTAAATCCACTTATTGCATTTTCTTTTTCTATTCACACAGTTATCATTGTTTTATAATATTTAATAGATCGTTGGAAATGTTTGTTTTGCAAATCACACTATTACAATTAGCCGATTGATTATGAAAAACCAACAAAAGTATAATAGGGTGAAAAAACATTTACTAACAAGATTAGAATTCAAAATCTTAAGTTAGCAATAAAATACTTGAACACTAAATTAATTTATTACACACACACACACACATATATATATATATATATATATCTAAAT